TTGCAGCTCAGAAACCCACTCTGTCTGTCTGTCTGTCTGTCTGTCTTAACATCTGACTTTGTAGTCCAGGCTGACTCAGCTCCTGTGTACTGAGATTCTAGGCAGTTCCTCCAGGCTCAGGTAGGAATTTGCATAATACATTATCCTTGTGATTCTGACCACAATGAAGAGGGAGACAGGGGAGCCCAGATCCAGAGCTTTTGGTATTTTGTTCCTATTCATTTTCAGAAACCTCGTATGAGTTCTAAGGAGCTGACCAAAAAGAAAACCAGAAGGAACGTACCTCCATTAAGAATTACCAATAATGAACCAATTAGAACAAGACTCCTTTCTTCCAGACCGCCCCTCCCCCCAACACACACGCACAGTCCTCCCGCTGTTACCCAGTTCTTCAGAACCCATCAGGGAGACTGCAGATGCAGCTCAGGTGCTAAGTTGCCTAGCCTGCACAAAAGCCCGGCACTCTATAATCCGGGTCTGGTGGTGCATGGGTGCGGAGCCAGCCGTGGGGAAACGGACATAGGAAGGTCATCCTTGGCCACACAGTGCGTTTGAGGCCAACACGGCACTCATGACACCCCGTTTCAGATTTTTATAGAAGCGGAGGCACGATAACTCACACCTTTGATCTCAGCGCTCAGGAAGCAGAGACAGGTAAATCTCTGTGAATCTGAGCAGCCTGGTCTACCTAGCATGTTCCAGGCCAGCCAGTGCTACCTGGCAAGACCTTGCCACAAAAACACCTGGACAAGCACAGATACGAAAACGGCTACCAGAGCATTTTTGAGACGTCACGCTTGGAATTGGAGAAGAGTGAAGATCTGGTCCCTAGCATGTCAGCCTCCCCCCTCTCCCTCCCCCCCCCGAACCTTATTAAGGGGCACCAGCCTGCAAAGTGTAAGCTTACCTGGAGGACTGGTGAACACACCCTTGTGCCACTTTTAATATGTGCCTCTCCAAACTTTATTTGTTTTTTTTGGGGGGGGTTCTTTTTTTTATTTTTAAATTTATTTATTTATTTATTAAGGATTTCTGCCTCCTCCCAGCCACCGCCTCCCATTTCCCTCCCCCTCCCCCCATCAAGTCGCAGGGAGCCCGTGACCCACAGTGCAGGAGACCAAAGGCTTACAGGAAGTAACCTGAGGACCTTTGAATCAGTTCTCTGCTTGACAACGTGGAGGAAAGTGAGGCGTGGACTCAAAGACTGGCTCTGGTGTGGGGACGTGTTCCCAAGTTCACCTTTTCCTCAGGCCCCTCTTATCCCAGGTACTGTTTCCAGGAGATGCTCTAAACGCCTTGACTTGCTTTTTAGCTTAGTTAGATCCCATGAAATTTCCGTGACCAACTGATATTGGATCTGGAGAATTGTTCTTCCAAGAGACACTTGATTTTTTTTTTTTTTTTGCTTTGTCATCTCCTAGTTCCTGAGGATAGTACTCCACAGGGGAAAACTGGACCCAGGTCCCCTGGCCACCAGGCTTCTTCTGTGTGGAATTTCTACCACAGTGTCATACTGATTCCTGTTGCTCCCTCGGCCCTTCCAGGGGATTACGGGCAATCCACAAGCGAAGGCTCTGGAAATTGCCTACCTATTTTCACAGGCCAGGGAACGAGGAGCCTTTGGCGCCTCAGTTGCTTCCAGATCTGCACAGGAGGTCTGAGAAGCCATGGTTACCAGAGCACACAGCACCGCCAGGGCAGCTTGTCACCCATTTACCCCTAGTCATGGGCAACACCGGGACAGCTGCACCCCATCAGGGGAACTGTGGCAAGTCTCTGTCAACAACAGACCCTAATAGTCCCAGCTAGATGGCTATACAGACTGCGGGCCCTGAATAGGTTTGCACAGGAGGGTTCTGGCTGCTCCTTCCAACCGGAAGTGGCGCTGGCTGACTCAGGGGCAGCAGGGGCTATGGTGCAGTTAGGAAGGAATGTGGTTGTAGCTCCCTCTAGTGGGCTGTTGCCAGAAAGCGGAAGTGGAGAGAAGTGGAAGAAGGGGCCTGACCTGGGCAAACATTCAAGCTACTGGATGTCACTGCGAAGTAAAGCATTTGCTCTTCAGAGGAAGCTGTTTCCATCACACCCAGCACAAATATCTTGGTGACAGATGAAGTAATAAGGGCGGCGGCGGGGCTGCGTCCCCAACACCCCAGCCGCCTGCCCGGCTAGCTTATGCCCCGAAATAATTACACGGACACTGTATTCTTTTAAACACTGTTTGGCCCATTCTCTTCTAGGCTAATTCTCACATATTAATTTAGCCCATTTCTAATCATCTGTGTATGGCACCCCAAGGTGCGCTTACCAGGAAGATTCTAGCCCATGTCCATCCTGGGTCGGAGCTTCATCCCAGGAGCGGGGCATGGCGTCTCTCTCAGGCGTCTGCTCCGGAGAGGAGAGCTGTCGCGACTCTGAGCTCACTTCCTCTTCCTCCCAGCATTTTGTTCTGTTTACTCCTCCTACCTATCCTCTAACCAATAAAATGGGCCAGGGCAGTGCCTTTATTAGCCAATGACCTTCCTCCATCAGACAGAGGCTGTTCTTACGATCAAGCGGCAGGTGGACCAGAGTTCGGGGGAGCAGATCCCCTGCGCGGGAGCCTCTCACACGCTCACCAACTTCCCCACACCTTGCCCTCGTAGTGATCAGTCGAGGTCCCTTTCCCTCGCCTCACCCACGCTGCCCTAATTAACCAAGGGGATTTTGTACTTGGAGGTCAAGCTGAAAGAGAAGGGCCCTCTTCTGTGATTGGACAGGAAAAGGCTCCTGGCTAAAGGTGCCATCAGAGCTGTTGGCTGTTGTGGAGATGGGACTGAAGAACTCACACTAGCAGGAAGAGAACATCCGCAGGACCCATCCCGTAGCAAGGAGAGTAAAGACGATGGCTAACTTACATAGATTTACAGCCAGTGTGGGTCAGTGAGATTCTACTGTGCTCTCAGTAACCTATAAAACGGTCATTCTTGCCTGGGTACCAGACTCATTTCCATACTAAGCAAAGTCATCTGGTTATTATAACTGCCTGCTGCCAAACGAAGAAGTTCACCGAGATAAACCAGTGTGGGTCTCCCTGGGCAAGAGGCTTTTGTTTCCCATCATGCACCTGTATCTGGAAATGAGTTCATGCTGGTGGCTTGTGGACAGAGTCACAAACGTCAAAGCTATGAAGCAAGAAGAGACACTTGTGTGCGATTCTGCGGCCGTGGACTTGGAACACGTTGCCCGCACCCACCATGCTCTGGGGCTCTCTGGTTACTTTTCTTGGGTGTGTTCTGCCACTTGACTGAAAAGAAGGCGCACCCGACTCTGGGTCTAACGGAAGAGAGAAACGTGAGGAGAAGCGTGAATAAGTGAGAGGGAGGCTGTGTGGGGGAGGAGAGCGAGAGACGGGGAATGAATCACGGGAACTCTGCTGTACCCCATCCCAGGTCCAGGGTCAGGATGACAGATGGGCATGGTGACAACAGCCGCCTCCTCCCACCGGCTTTCTGGAGAAAAAGAGGCGGCTGGAAAATGCTCAAACTCTCATTCACCTGCGCTGAACAGTGGGGAGGAAATGGGAGCCATACCGTGGTAGAGAGTCAACCAGGCCCCGCCCCCAGCCCCGCCTCTGTAACCCAGCGCCTGTCCACCGGTGGCAGCCCAGAAGTGGGTCCAGCTACTGGGCCCAAGTGCTGGCTTAGCTGACTGCCTTTCTTCCCCACATCACCCCAATTCGCTAAGTTCACAGCCTTCGAGTTTTCCTGGCCAGCCGTCCTCTCATGTCCCGCATCCCACCTCTCTTGTTGACACTGCTTTCCCTAGGGATGGGGTCTGGCCATGTCTCACTGGCTCCACTGAAGCAGCCGGATCCAAAACATCCACTCTCTAAGATTATTCAGCCTCATCACTGGTGATTCCGGGAAAACTAAGCACTCTTCAGAATCCAGTAGGAATGGCTTCCTGCTGTCCCGGAACACAGAAGAAGTCCCGTGGGGCCCTGACTTGCCCGTCTCATCCTCCATCTGAGGTTTCTCTGCATCGTCTCCTACCCTGCTGATGGCTTGCCAACCTCCAGCCACATGGCCCCTCCCTCTATCTACAAACCAGCTGCATGTTCCTACCTTTGCATGTGCTCAGAGTGGACCATTTCCTCCTGATCTGATGACCTCCTGGACTTTACCCAAGCACCACCTCCTCACTCAGTCCTTCCCTGCCTCCCTCTTCTCAATAGTCCTATATTGCAGATAAACTCACCTACTGTGCAAATATCTATTCATTTGCTGTATTAAATTCCTGCCTTTCCTGGACAGGACCCAATCTTAATATCAGCCATTAGGATTATTTAGTAGCAAGAGAAGTCTGGTGGAGAAAAGTGTGTGTGCGTGTGTATGTGTGTATTTGTGTGTGTATGTGCATGTTTGTTCAACCACGTGTGTGTGCATGTGTGTGTATGTGTGTACATGTATGTGTGTTTATGTGTGTTGGAGATGTTTGACAGTCATCTTCACTTGTAATCAGTGGTTTACAAACACTTGATCATTTGAATAAGTACTTTAACCATATTTATCAGCCAGAGTCTATGCTTTCTCCATTCATTCACTGGCCCAGCTGACATTCACAAACGGTCCTTGCCACATTGGGTGTTCTAGTGGACATTGGGTACAGCCTTCCTGAGAATATGGTCCCTAGGGTAGGGTAACGGGCCCAGCTGTGACAACTAATCTGAGTGAATCTTAGCATTAAGGCAGACGGACACATGCACACAGTACCTGACTAGGAAGTAAATATAGACCAAAAGGAACAAACACTTGGGTGAGTGGCTGCTGGTGGGGATGTCCCTCTCCGGAGACCCCAGAAAAGAGTAGAGGAGTGATTGTTGGGGGACTTCCAGAGTAACATTACTGTTGTTCTCATGAGGACAAGCAGTCAGCTGTGGGCTCCAAGGAGAACGAGAGTCACAGGATGAGCTGGGCATGGTGGTACACACACTGTTATCTCGGCATTAAAGAGGCTGTAACAGGAAAATGAAGAATTCACGGTCATCTTTGTCTACATGGTGAGGTGGAGGGCAGCCTGGGCTGCATGAGAAAGCCTGTTTCAAATAAGGAAAGGAGAGACCACTCTCACTCCCCTGAGGGACCTACGTATGATATCAGCAGACCCTGGGAAGCCCTTTGAAAGACAGTTCTGGCCTTGACATATGCCCTGCACTGAGACCCAAGAGGCAGAGCATGCTAGACAATGGTCTACAGCTGGTCTCCTTGGGGAGCATCCCCTGCCTGAGCCAATCTGCAGAAGCTGATGGAGAGCCTTCTCTGGTGGCCCACGAGTGGGCACCGTGGATGAGAAACATTGGGAAGCTGGCCAAGTGCTTTGGCATCTGTGCATCTGCCTGCCTTTGTCAAAGCCATGCGATGTGAGCGCTGAGCTTGGCTCTTGGGGTTCTTACACAGCACAAGGCCTGGCCTCTGAGACTGCCATTTATTTATGAGTTAACTCTTCCACAGCCAGGCCATGCCCGTACGCCTCCGCAGCAACATCATGGCTTCTTTGACTCCCACATCATCCCATCCCCTTTTTTCTGTTGGTCATTCCATCAGCTCTCACCCTGCTCCTGTGGCCCCACCCCCAGAATTCAGAACCCTGTCTTTAACTACAGGAACTCCCCTATTTTTCCGTCCCAGTCGCTGTGTAGAAGGCCACCAAGGGCTATCTGGCGGAGTCATTCAGTGAGGAGGGGATGCCATCCTGCCATCCTCCAGGGAACTTGAAGGCCAGGTGTTCTGGATCCAGCCACTCTGCGCGAGGTGTGCGTAGGTTTCCCCCAGTGGCCCACATGCAGCCCGACTCTGCAAGGGAAGAGGGAGAACAAAGGAAGTTCAGATAAGGACGTGAGGACATAAACATGGGAGACGCCATCATGCAAACTGTAATTTGGCTTTTTTCCCTCGTCTCCCCCAGCACTCACAAGGACCCGCTACCAGACCTCGGCTCTCCTTGTTCCATCACTCACTGCAACTACAGAACTGGCCCGCGGTAGGTGAGTGCAGGCCAGCGGAAGCCCATCCTCCTTCCTGATTCAAGCCTATAAGACAGTGAAACATCCCTAAGCTGGTGGCTCATCACGTGCCTGAGTGGAAACTGAGCTACACATCAGGAACTCAGGCCATGCTTTCCTCACAGCCTTCACGTGTTGGCAGCTCCAGTGTAATTTCTGCACCAATCCCCAAGCAAGACACATTTCAAAACCATTCGACCGGAGCTGGAAAATGGCAGATTAAAAAGCACCCACAATATTAGACTGAAAACTTGGGTCTAATCCCTGGAATCCGTGGTGGAAGGAAGGAAAGAACTGACTCATTCAAGTTACTCTCTGACCTGAGAGCACAATCTGTGTTCTCTCGTTTTCTCTCTCTCTCTCTCTCTCTCTCTTCTCTTCTCTTCTCTTCTCTTCTCTTCTCTTTATAAAATCCTCCAATAAATAACAGAAGACAGTTTGTCTATGAGAAAAGAAAAGGTTGCTTTGAAACAAGAACCATTAAAAAAAAAAAAAACACCCACAAAAATACGGAAGGAGGTTCCACCTAAAATGTTAACCATTCAACGTCCAAGCAGAGACCATCCAAGCCTCAGAGAGGTGAGCGAAAGATTTGAAAGGGCCTCAGAAGAGGAGTCTTGCCAGAATCCAAGACCACATTCAACAGGATGGTACGACCTAGGGGAGCCAAGATGAAGGTGAAGTCCAGCCTAGTGTGTCTGCACACAGTAGGAGATTTACACTGCTGGCATGGCATTTACTGAGTCCTGTTCTCATGGAAACCAAATAGTGACAAGTACATAGAAAGAGGCAGAACACAGGGAAGGAGACGCTTAGGAGTTCCAGGGGGAAAGAAGTCATGTGTGAAACAAAATATAATTTACCCCAGCCCTCTAGAGGTTTCTCCATGGGGAACACCATTTACACAGCCACGATAAAGAAGAACTGAATTCAGAGATGTAAAAACTGATACTTACACTACAGTAAGTGGGGAAGGTATACATGGGTGCTGTGTGTAGTGTGGAGAGCAGTGGTGGGTGGTATCTTCCATAGGAGGGAATGGATTTTTCTAAGACTTGGGAGACAAAACTTCAAAAGCAACACAAGTGTATTCCAGGGTGTGCAACCGTGGTCTAGACAAAACACAAGTGTATTTCAATGCATGTAATCGTGGATCTAGACAAAACACAAGTGTATTCCAGGGGGTGTAAATGTGGTCTTGACAAAACACAAGTGTATTCCAGGGGATGCAAATGTGGTCTAGAACACAGCTACAGCAAAGGAGGGGGTGTTTCTAAGAGTGTAAGTGGGGGCGTGAGGGCTGGGGGTGGTTATTGTTGGGTATGAGGCTTGATGGGGAAGCTGGTCTTTTACAACTTGAGCAAATGTTTCCATTTCCTTTTAGAGTGGTGGTTCTCAGCCTGTGGGTCAAGAGTCCATTGTGGAGGTGAAGCGGCCGTCTCATGGGGGTCACCTAAGACCATCTTCACATCAAATATTTACATTAAAGTTCCAAAAGTGGCAAAATTACAATTTTGAAATAGCAATGAAAATAATTTTAAGGTTGGGGGTCACCACAACACAAGGAACTGTGCTAAAGGGTTGTGGCACTAGAGAGGTTGAGAACCACTGTTTTAGAGGAGGAAAAAATAAATGAAAATTTCTCCAACCCAAAAGACACATTCTCAAGTTTGAAAAATAAAACCAACTTACAGTATTGCCAGATTTAGCAAAACAGGCAAAAACCAAAAGAACATCCAGCAAAATGTGAGTTTTAAAAGAGCAGATCGATGTTTTTTAGCATAATTGTGTCCTAAATACTGAAGATGTTACTCAAGTTTATCTGAAGTTCAGATTTAATGAGCATCCTCCATTTTATCCAGCAACCCCATGTTCATTAGATCCACACCAAGGCCAGAGCCAGGACAGGGAGATCTTGACACTTACGTAAAGCAGCAAGTTCTCATGGAAGGAAATCAGAAAAGGCAGCAACTTTGCAAAATCATGGCAAGATTAGGAGTTAGGAAACAGGAGTATGGTGTCTTCAAAACTGTAAGGAAAAACAACATCTATCCTGGAATTCCACATCCAAAGTCACACATGGAGCTTGAGAACAGAATAAAGGCATTTGGCATGCCAAGTTCAAAACCGGAAACTCACTCATCATTTTTGAGGATACGGTGCACGGTCTGCTCCATTCAAACGAAAGCAAAGCAGGACTGGGGCACAGAGTCCAGGAAAACGGAAGCCCAACAGAGAGAAAGGGAAAGTGAATTCTCGGGATAACAGCTATACCGAGACGGAGCGAAAGCAGGCAAGGTAGAGTGGGAAAGTGGAAGGTTCCAGAATGGAAGACCTCAGTGGTGGGGGACCAATAGAGAGCCTGCTTGGAAAATGATCTAGAGGGGTTTTCCAACTGTGTCAGAGAGCCCAGAAAGAACCATAAATATAAACGCAGAAAATTAATCAGGTGGAGAAAATGAGGCAATTATTAACAAAGTGTTTACAAGAGATTAAACAAACATTATCATAATGCACTGCTCGGCAATGTGGAAAATAATACTTGATGGTGATAATGACATAAACGCCAATCTAAACAAAGCATTAAGTGAGGGCAGAAAGCATTCGCCAGGCGCGTGGCTGCATCCGCAAAGACAAAAGCCGAAGTCCTGTGGCTCAAAGACGGTAGGCTGACCCACAAGGCCCTCCATGATCTCGCCCCACTGTATGACCCTGAAATCATCCCTTTTGGTACCCCCACCTCACTCATTTTGCTCCTGGCAGCTCTTCTCCTCAATTACACCATGTCCTCCTGACTAGGGGCTTTTGTGCTGCTGTGTGTGCCCTTTGCATAGATCCATAGGGCTTACAGACCAACCCAGCAGGTCCTTGCAGAGACTCCCTCTTCTAGATAGGCCCTCCAACTCCTTATGTAACACTGCTTCTTCTCCGACATCCCTACAGCACTGTGACTGGCATTTGCTTATTCATAGCCATTTGCACTCAGTATAACACCACTATATGAGTGTGTTATGTTATAGTGTGTGTGTGTATATATATATATATATATATATATATATATATATATATATATACATATAGTGGTGAGAGGTCATAGTAATATATATTAGCCACACTTCCTGTTACTGTAACCAAGTCCTTAGAAGAAGCAAGTGATGGGAGCCACAGTTTCTTCTGGTTCAGCAGGATGTAGGTCATGGTGGCCCTGGGAGTCTGGAGGCAGGAGCTGGTCACATTTCATCCACAGCCAGGAAGCAGAGAACAGACAGGAAGTAGGGCAGGAACCAGTATGGTTATTTTAATCATAGATTTTGTTGTAGTTGAATGTACATGAGGTCCATGTACTAAGGCATTAGATGACAAGGTGACACTGGGGGAGGCTGTAGGTCTTTAGGGATCTAGCGGGAGGCCCTTAGGTTCTTGAGGGCTTGCTCTCGAAGAGGACACTGTGACCATACTTGCTCTCCTTTGCTTCCTGGCACTAGGTGAGCAGGTTTGCTCCACCGTACACTGCTCCCACAGGTGCTGCTCCACCCCCCAGGCACTAAGCAACAGCATCAAGGAATCAGACCAGAACTTCTGAGCCAGGAGGAACCGGCTTACTTTATGAATTTGTTGTCTCAGACATTTGTTATGGTGACAGAGGTAACCCAAACTCCCAGCCTCTAGAAGTGTTAGAACACAAAATCCTGTTGGTGATGTTACCAATCAGTGGCAGTGGTCAATACAGCCTGGCAACGTGTGATCTGAGTAAGAGTGAGGCCTTCCCTGCATCTGGGAAAAAGATACAAAGGTCACAGGTCACTGGAAGGGATAGAGAAAAGACCACACTGGCCAGACAGGGACATGCTGCTGAGTGTGATGATGCCCGCAAGGAGCCATAGAGGGTGCAGAAATACGGGGTGACAAACCAAGACCAGGTACACTGAATAAAACACAGGATTCCCAGCTCCACTTGATCTCCAGGCAATTCTGCAAAATTTGGGAAGTTAAAAAATGTTCTGTGTCTATGTATATGTATGTATGTGTGTGTGGATTACAGACACACACGTATCACAATGTATGTGGACAACCTCATGTATTAGTTCTCGCCTTCCGCATTGTTTGCCACTGCAGATACCAAGAGCCCTGGCCTCGAACTTCCAGGGATCTTTAGGACTCCACCTGGAGTCTCACCATAAGGGAGTTGGGATTACAAGCACACAATACCGTGTCCAGCTTTATGTGGAGTGGGGAACTGGAAATCTAAGTTATCTCCCAAGCTTGGTACATTCTTATGCTGAGAATATATGCATCATTGATGAGAGATGGAAATGAAGCTGTGAGTCTGTTGTTTTCTCTGGCATCTACCCAACAGAAGTGCAATCTTCTAGAGACGATTTAGTAAACACACCTAAGTTTTTAAGGCATAAGAAATCTTCAGCACAGCAATCCTATCCTCAGAATTTATTCACAAGAAATCATAAGAGATAAATGTGTAAAAGTTGTGATATTTGTCAGTATATTGATTCTAATCATAAAAGAAAAACATTTTGAGAAGAATGGTTAAAAAGTATTTCGGTCCAAAAAAACTGAAATCTTATGGTCTGTATTTACGTTAATTCTAATTCTATAAACTTCATCATAAAAATTGGAAATAAAAATCACCTGTATTTATTAACGTGAAAATATGTTTAGAATATAGAGAGCTTAAAATGATAATAATTTCAAGTTGTGTTTACTAACTGTGCCAAACATACACACATGCATGCAAAAACTTTCTTTGATAATTCTCTTTAAAGTTCTTTCTTTGCTTTTACATTTTTCTTCTTATCTATGGGGGGGGGGGGGGGAGCATGTACGTGGCATCCAGGGCACAACTTTCCGGAGTCAGTCTTCTTCTCCCACCACATGGGTCGAGAGGCCTAAACTCAGGTCCTTGGCTTGGCAGAAAGTGCCTTCACCTACTGCAACCACCAGCAACCACTGTGAAGGAACTGAAGCAGAATTTGAGTTGTGACAGACCAAAGGACTCCAGGCTCTGCTGCTCCAGGGTGTCCTTACTGGCCTTTTGTGCAGTTTTTGTTTTAGATAGCTCAGAGCTTAAAGCAGGCGCAGGGGAACAATGAAAAGTATATAGATTATTTCTCACCAGTATCAACAGATGTGCTCCAGATTCAGACGGTCTCCTGTCTGAACGGGAGCTATTTGTAAGACATCCTTGAAAGCTAAGTTTGGTGGTAGAGGGCTACATTTACCCACTGAGCCATCTTAATCCTCACGCCTGAATCAGGATGGGGCATCCACATAAGGACCCAGCAGCAGGTTTCCTACAACCGTGGACTTGCTCCTCATCCTATTTTGCTATTGCTGTATCTACGCTATGACCCTTCTCACACTAAAAGAGCCGAGGAGGAAGCTGGTTGCAGGAGATGTTCATTGATTTGTCTGTTTGGAGAAAGG